TTTAAGGGGCCATCCATATCTTACGCCATCATAAAGGCGTAAACATTTTATGTCGTCGAAAAAGCTGATTTTTGGACCACTCATCCTCTCCTTCGTTCTCATACGGTTCCATTTGTTAGAAGAGTTCTAATCCATCCACGATTGCATTAGCCGAATGAGCCGAGTTATCCTTTTATTTAACATCAGTTTATTTATTTTATTTTGGCGTCAAAATCATTCAATTTCCCAAATTCCAAACACAAATTGAATGATTTTGACGCCAAAATAAAATAAATAAACTGGTGTTAAATAAGAGACGACTCGGCTAATGTAATCGTGGATGGATTGGAACTCTTATAACAAATGGAACAGTACTCATATTAAGCTTAACCTTTAATTAAGGTATGCTATACCTAAGGTAATCACCCAATCACCTTTTTGATGACGTAATATATGGACATTCCCTAAGCTGAATAATTTTCCTTGGACATATTTTTTAAAAGTTTACGGCCTAAATTTAATGCACCACTTAATTAGCTGAAAGCTCCCACTTTTTTTGGCGGTACCTCCCACTAGTTGAAATCCTCACTATGCACAATGGGCCAGGAGCCTAAAAATGTGGCCATTAAGGCGGTATCTTGAATTGGCTATTCACATATTTCAACGTGTAGTATAGAACCAACATGTCCTCCATGCAAAATATAAAACCAAATGTTACACCCACTCGGGTGTACCCGTGGGGTAAACTTTTCATAATACATTACGAAGATAGGGCGAACACATTTTCTAAAAACTTCACAAAACTTCACGCATTGCGCACTCAAAACTCATGCCATTAAATAGCCCATGGTGTGCTAAGTATACCCTGCTGCGACCGTCTGCGACCATCAAGCTTTATTCCTACCACACCCACTTTTGGTCATTAAAGTTAAAAAAATCAAATTTAAGTTGAATTGCCTTTACTCAAGTATGCTTTAAGTATACTCACTCATTGGACTTTCTCAGCAAACTGAGGTGGTAGCAGGAACGTATTTTGGGTGTGAAAACCACACCCTCTGGTAGGGGAATCAAAATGAAAGACATTTCTTGCTGAAAGGCTTGATGGCCGATCTTGTCATGCTTAACAACATTGAAAGTTGAAATTCGGATTACTTTTCCAATTGTTGACCGATTTTCAAAGTGGCGACTGTTTTGGAAACCCTAGGTCAATGGGCGAAACATATATTTTCAGCTTTTTTTAATTCGACCACACCCCCTCGAAATTAAGGTCACAAGGTCAAGCAACTTGTAGAATCAAATTAACGAATACCGCAAAATTTCAAACAATAAAAATCGACGTGCATGTCGAAAAAATACCTCGACAGCCTGGCCACTACTAGCAATATTCAAATCGTCACATGCCACGCCCCCAGTGGGTGTGGCCCTCGACGACTTTTCGATTTTAACGAAACCAAGTGATATGTCATTTTTCTCAGCTCGATGAGGGGATCTCGATGGAATGATTAAAATTTTGTCACCACACCCCCGGTGGGTGTGGCTCTAAGAAAATTCTCAATTTTAACGAGAACAATATCATGTGATATACCATTTTTCTCAGCTATACGAGTAGATATCCACAGAATAATTAGAATTTTGAAACCACGCCCCCAGTGGGTGCGTAATTCAGCGAGTTAAAGTTGTTTTCTCCGATTTTAAATTTCTCCCACACCGAAATAGCACTACCCGTATTTTTGCGTTTCCATGAAGGCTCGCGTTTTCAGTTGTGGGGGTTTAGAGGGCATTTTCAGCCCAAATTAAAATTTGTCAAAAACTTTTATGTTATATAATTTTAACGCTATATCATTAATGAAAGAACAAAACCATTTTTTCCCAAAAATTCCAAAAAAGATTAGAAAAATACATTTGTAAAAGTTTAAGGCTCTGTATGCTATTTCAAAATTTTGAAAAATGCAGCAAGAAATTGTAAAAAATTACAAAGTTTGAAAGTGGGTTTTTCTTAATTTACGTAAGAGTAAGAATTAAATAATTCGACAAGCAGATCCGCCGACTATTTCAAAAGTGGAAATACTCTATTGGATTATGTTCCCCACATGAAAAGAATTAAAACTTACCAATTTTTTCGGGCGCCAAAATTTCCCTTGGGGGGTTATGAGAATAATGGGAGATTTATATGGTGCACATAGGGCACAGCATAGCTATGGGACGGGTTGATGAAATTTTAAAAACAAAATTTTGTTAGACTCTCTGGATCAGTACACCGATAGGTTTTTCGAACCGAGTTGGAATTCCGACTTTCAGGGGTTTTTCGCAGCGACGCAAGATTGACTCAAAAATTGGTTTTTCGCTATGAAGAAAAAGTATGACGAAATGTTCATACGTTAGCGTTTCACCAATTTTTACTACGTTGCAAATTATTAGTAGTAGAATAAAGGTTAAATTACCCAAAAAGTTGAAATCGACCTGCGTGACCTTTTCCGGGGATCCAAAGGTCACAATGTCAAAGGTCACATTGCCCGATAAATGGGGTATCGTTGGAAAGGTATTAGCGAGAGGATTCAGAATATGTATACTTTGTGGGGTCAGAAATCACTCCCTGTAAGTCTAGAGGCAAACGAGCGAAAATCGACAGTTGTCCAGAATTTAACACAGCAGTGGATTGGGAGCTAACACGGAAGCATGCATGGGAAAAACTCAAAAATATTCTTCTGGCTCTATGTTTCCGGGGAGTGATTTCAGACCCCACAAGGTATACATATTCTGAATCTTCTCGCTAATACCTTTCCAACGATACCCCATTTATCGGGCAATGTGACCTTTGACATTGTGACCTTTGGATCTCCGGAAAAGGTCACGCAGGTCGATTTCAACTGTTTGGGTAAAGGTGACTATTAAAAATTTCCTCATATAATATATGCCTTAGGTTATTGTTGCACACCAAAATCTAGTTCTAGTTTCTTCAAATTCGGCTTCTATATATTTTTGGCCACAATTTTTTAAATCTGGCCCACTGTGCTATGTCGGGTTTTTTCGCCACTCAATTATCTAGTGGTAGCCACTCATTTATCTGAATTCGCACTTAAAGCGATTATGCAAAAATTCTCATAAAAAAGCTCTAAATTTTATTTCTGATTTACATTTATAAAATTTACATAATAATCAGGGCCCTGCGAGCTCGAGCAACCCTTCCCCTCTTGCGCTTTTGACCTAAAGGTACCGTTTTAGCCTCTGTGCGAACTCCGTGTAATTTTTCCTGGATTGCTAGTTCCTAAGTTTACGTGTTTTACAATGTTACCAAGAACTGCGTGAATTGTGTCAATGTAAATTTTTGACAACTTCTTTTTGTTTGTAGTCCCGGTGACCCTTGTATTGCGAGAATTACAAATTAATCTCAACGTCGTCCACTATGCATGTGAGGGATTACGGGGGCCAAGGAATTTGCTCATGGAATACGCTAAATTGCAGTTACTACATTCACTAATGATGCAAAGTGCCGGACTGACCTTTGTCTTTATGCACGGACTGTTTTCACATCTTATTTTATTCTGCAATTTCACAATTTTAATAAACTGGGAGACACTGGACAACTCAACATTGGTTAGTAAAGCAAGACTATATAAATTGTAGGATGAGGAAAGCTTATCGGGCAGGTGGTTCTTATTTAAAGGGTGTTTATTTAATTCGTCCCGATTTTTTTCTAAATATTTGAAAAATGATATGTAATTGAAAAAATTGTTATTGCAAATTGTTGCTGAAAAACGTAGCTCAAACCGATGAAAACTTGGGTTCTTCTGGTTGACGTTATGATGCTCATGATAAGGACTTATCTGCATGGTACAAATTATTTAACTTGTTTGAAAGTTATGCATAAATATGGTTTGAGCCCAAAAAGACATCATCGGGACGAATTAAACCAACATCTTTTCTCTTAAATCCGTTAGTTTCATATAAATTTGATTGCGAAATTACGCCCTAAAATTGTAGCTAAAATATTATTTTCCAAATTTCAACAGCTCCTTATGTCAGTTACATCCATCGGCTTGCAAATAGTTTGGTCTGGTACGCTCCACATTACTGGAGAATTTCGGGCGTACACGGTGAAAACTTTGGAATCATGGAGTTCCATGTCGTTCAGAGAGAAACGGGAGGAGAAAATATTTAACAAATTTCGAAAACCGATGAAACCACTGGCCATCGGGGTTGAGGGAATGATGACGTTTAAACGATTGACTGGAATTAAATTCCTTCGTGACACGATTACAGGAACGATTAGGGCTCGACTTACGATCGGTGAGGCAATCTTGCTGGATTCGCTTTCCGGTGCAGCTACGTAATCAAGCATAAAGTTCAGTTTATTTTCAGATGGAGCTTATTTTGTACGGTGCTGGTAGTAATGAATCATATCAATGCCTTATCAATGCCTTATCAATGCCTAAGTAATGAATAAAAATTGGAGATGCATATTTGTATTTGAATTAAGAAGATTTTTCGACTCAACATGCAAACCATGTAGATGTGTATCAAAGTTGTTAGTTTCCCAAATATTAATGAACGACTACATAGATACTTATACAAATATGTATAATCCATTCGATATACATCTGGATAAATCTAGACAAGCAAAACCAAAGCCACCTCCATATGCGTATTTGTAAGCTTATCACACTGCACACAAATATTTGTAATCCAAGCAGAAAGATTATGCATAGTTTGGCCAGGAAGTAGCACATCTTTGAATCACACTCCTAAAAATGATGTTACCCTTTTGAAAAATAAATGCACTCTGAATTCTATATTAGTAAACTGTATTTACAAAATTTGTATCACAAATCAGGAGTGAACTTTGCCCATAATCAGCTCCACTCGTTACTCTGGATTTATGTAGTATATGTAGTTTACTTAATATAAAATTGGACTGGATAAACTTTTTTAAAGGGAACATTATTTTTAAGAGTGTGGGTCAAGAAAGAGTATGCGGATTATAAAAATCAATTTTTTTTTGCTTCAGCTCATCACATAAAAGGTATATTTATGCATTGGAGTTTAAATTTTATTCGCAGAGCATGTATAGTTTACATTTTACATTTAAAAAACGGCTAAACGATAAATTCATATCATAAATCAATTCATACGTACATATGTATCATGCATTGATTTATTTATATGTAGTTAACACGGTTATCAGCATATTTTGTAACAAACACGTTTTTCGATTTCGAATTACCGTATCGAATCTTGTAAACGGCGAGGAAACCAAAGACTCCAGCAAGCAGGATTCCCACGGTCCTAACAACGACGAGGAGCATGGAGGGTAAAGATAACTTCCAGTCCTTGTCCAGATAGACTTCATCTTCAGGTGCAGTGGGGTTTAACGTTATGTCACTCATTTCTTCAGAAGTTATATTATATGGAAACAGTTGAAAACTAAGAGACTTAAAAATGACTTCTACAACGCGTCCGTTCGCACGTCGGTCGAGAAGCCACGCCATTTCATTGTAATGGACGTTCTGCAACAGCTCTGTATATTCCAAAATAAATTTTTGAGAAATATTTTTTATGTACCACAGAAAACACCATCATGGTTCTTACGGTTAGAAGCTAATGTAATGTCAATCGAGATAAATGTAGTAAAAAATACTTTAAAATTCTGGGAGAAGATCATCTTTTCACCTCACTCCTCTCTTATCAGACAGTGCTACGAATCACTAAAACAAAAATCTTCTAAACCCAAGTCAGGTATTAAATCAAACTGGTATGATAATTTTAGCAATTTAATGATAAGATGGAAGAGTGAGGATTTGTTATGTAATTTACCTGAAAGCTATAATCTGGATAAATGTATGCAAAAATATATTAAAATAAATGCATCAATAGGTCTAATCTGTAGTGAATCTGTAAAGCATGATATAAAATCTATGCAACAAAGTAAAGAAATGTCATATTATAATAAGATATGTACACATATTAAACAATTTGATTTTATGAATTATGACTTAGCGTGGCCTATAGTAAGATGCTTCATCCAATGTCGAGCAAATGTATCCCAAATTATATGTGGTAAATTAAATATAAAATTCGCAAAATTAGAGTACTTTTATAATAAAATAGATGACCCATTGTAAACGGTGTGATTGTGAGAAGGAGGAGGATACTTTCCATGTACTATTCTTATGCCCAAAATACAATTATTTAAGAACTAAATACCTGGGGAAAGTATTTATTAATGAAGATGACTGTGTAAACTTTCTATCGAACCCAAGCTCTGAAACAATGTTAAGTGTATATTTGTTTTTCAAATGCATAATTGAAACAAGGAATGAATCTTGTTAATTGTAAAATTTTAGCTCTCTAGTTCTTAACCTAGCTATTAACGTTTGTACGCCCATAGATCAAGACCATACATACATATGTAATTTATTTTATATAATTTATGATTGTAAAGGCCGCCGCCATATCAATCTATGAATGAATAAACTACTACTACTACTACATTTCATTGTAATGTGATGGGCTGCCTACGTCCGCCCTGGCTGGTCGAGATCCTTCTGGTGCCATCTCTGTACAAAAATAAATTGAATTAGAAGCCTTAAATAAAGCATGTGATCAATTTTTGGAAAAATTTATCCCTATCCCCTCCCTAACATGGTAAACGTGGCCCATGTTATAATTAATGTGGGAACCCTTAGCCTATACATAGGTAACGCTAACCTGATAAAGAGCAAACCTTACTCTGGCTTTAGTGCAGTTTACTTAATTTAGAATTAAAACTGCTAATCGTAAGACTTTTCAAAAGGTTAATATTATACTTAATTGTGTATAATTACCGAAATATATTGCTCCAAATTCTGGCACCATTCCTTGAATGGAGACCCTATGCATCCAATACTGTCCAGCTTTCGGATCGTGTCCAAACGAAATGTGAAGATTTCTCTGGTTCTGACTCTCCTTCCCGTACGCTTGTGGGTCAATGTTTGTGTACGGGATTCGAATTATGATCTGCATGAGTTTAATTTTCCCGTCGTCTGTACCCGGTGATCTTTTCTATTTGCGATAGTTGTCGAATGAGCTGGGTATAAAGTCTCGTGGAATGAAAGTCTCCGCTACTTCGATAGGATTACGGTTAGTATCTTGCACGGAAATTAGAATATCGGTCGAAAAGCTTAATCTGAGGCGGGTAGCGTTATTGTACCATCCCCGGGTTTCGGATAATTCGGGTGATAAATCTTCCACCGGAGAAAGGTTAGTCTGGTTTAGCGGTTTAATCGTAGCTTGTACTTTGCATGGGATTAAGAACCAAAGTGAAATTAGGAAGAATTGATACATTGCAAAATTTGTCATATTTATAAGAACGGTAATAATTTATAAACCATGGGCTCTGATTATGACAGAATGTGTGCAATGAATCGGACAAAAAGGTTGAATGAAGACCGTTATTGTGGAACATGTTTATATGCATCAAAGAATATCTTATTTACGAATACAGAGAGATTGTAAAGCAAATATTGTGTGAGTACATAATGTTGGTTACTAGATATGTATGTATGTAAGAGAAGTTTGACCATAATTTGAGACAGATAAGTAAACGGGGACATAATACGTAAATATGTACAGATCAGAAATTTCTCGTCCTCACAAATGCACACATATTGTTGGTATGCAAATACGTATGAAGTTATACATATACACATGACGTACTATTTCTTAAAGAAAATAATCGTGAGCCATAACCATGTCATAACAAATCAGGTAAAACAACCGTATAATGCAAATCCCCAAAACCGTAAAATATTTATAAAACGATTTCCAATAACCATTCTTATTTATACATAAATATGTATGCAGTTATCACGGTTTTGTATCAGCAAATTTTATAATGAACAAATTTTCCACTTCTTTATTATGCAAATAGAATCCTGCAAATCATCAGAACACAGAAAAATCCAACGAGCAGGACTCCAACAATTCCACCCGCGATGAGCAGCAATGGCAGGCCTGATAACCTGTCGTCCTCATCCGTATCCACTTCATCTTCACTTCCGACAGGTGAGACAACGCCACTCAATTCAGCCCCATCATTATACGGAAACAGTTGGAAAGTAAGAGATTTAAAAATGACCTCTACATAGCGTCCATAATCAAGTCGTTCAAAAAACCAGGCCATTTCGGTGCAGTAAGATTGCTTCCCCACGTCCGCTCTGGCCTGTCTGGTTCCGTTGGGTTTCATCTCTGGGAAAGATTAATTAATGGTTTTGATTGATTAGTTCTTATCTATCCAACACTATTTTTGCTGTATATTAATAATTTGTTCATTTGCATTTTAAGAAATGAATATGAACAGTTATGTGTACACATATTCATACAAATTCACATTCATTCATTTAGTGATGAATGAATGAATTATTCAAAATTCGAATGAATGTTGAACGAATATTTTATTCGGATTTTTTTAAATAAATGAATATGGAGTGAATATCTATTCAATTAGTGTGAATGAATAATGAATGAATAGTTGTTTCATCATTCATTTTTAACTCAATGATTAATACATAGGGAAGGTTGAGAAATTGTTCTAACACTGTGAATTTTGAATAACATAAATAATGAAGGGATGGTGAATAATTAATAAATGTTAAATAATTAATGAATATTTTTTTACAAATTATGAATGAATGAATAAGGAATGAATTTTTTTTTCAAGGCTTTGAATGAATGAACTTTGAATGAATAAATATTTTTTGAACATATATGCGCATATTTACATACCCAAATATTTTGCTCCAAATTCTGATACCATTCCCTGAATGAAAACCCTGTGCATCCAATACTGCCCAGCGTGGGGATCATATCCAAACGAAATGTAAAGATTTCTCAGGTTTCGACCCTCCATTCCGAGCGCTTCTGGTTCAACGTTTGTGTACGGGATTGGAATTATGATCTGCATAAGTTTAATTTCCATTGCTGAAAGAGGAGATCTTTTCCGTTTAAGAGTTTGGTTAGGGGGCAAATCATTGTTGGAATCAGTGGACGGGTATTTCTCATAGTTGGAGAATGAGCTTGGTATAAAATTTCGTGGAATGAATGTTTCCACTACTTCGGCAGGATGAGGGAAAGTATATTTCACGGAAACGGCTATATCGGCGGAAAAGGTTAGTCTGATGCGGGTAGCGTTGTTTGACCATCCGGAGGATAATTTGGGGGACGAGTCAGCCACTGGGGAAGAGTCGGTGAGACTTGACAGGTCTTTTATAGCGTGAACTTTCCATGGGATTGTGAACCAGAGTGAAATTGTGAAGAATTTTGGAATTGAAAAACATTTCGTCATTTTTAGTTTTAGTACTAGGCAAGGAAGAATTAAGAGAATGTGGAAGATGTTGGGGACACAAAAGTAGACTGAAGATGGTTATTGTGGAGCATATTCACGAATGTCGAAGAACATCTGGTCTTTAAATAAACAGATATTATACATGTACGCAGCAAATATCGTAAGATGTTGGTTTATTAAATATGTAAAGGAAGTTTGATAATAGTTTGGGAAAACGAGTAAATGTGGACATAAAATGTACAGATCAGTGTGTAAATACGTACACATATAAGTATGTATATACATATATGGGAAATTGTGTATAGATGTACATATATATGACCTACTGTATCTGACAGAAAATAATCTTGAGGCATAAATCTGGCATGGCAAATAAACTATCAACATGTAACTGTATTTATCGTTAAACCTGCATAACCTCAAACCACTTGTTCGGAAAGAAATGTCCAATTAGAACCTATTTGATATGCGTATTTATTTAGTCGCGTTCCTCTACTTCGTGGAGCTTCATTTAACATTTCACAGAGTAAAAAAAAATATCCAAAATTCACGTTTACCAGATTATAAATTTTCAATCAAACTTGGACTAAACCTTGACATACATACATATCAATGCCTTTCAATTTGTACCTCATCTTTTTAAGAAAATATTTAGTAGTGAAAGAGAACAAACAACATTAAGCAGTTTTCTTTAAGGAAAAAGATTTGTTGACTCAATTTGCAGCTAAATATGTGTAAGTTGTCATCGTAAATTTGTATGCCCAATTTGCATGATCGATTACACATATATCTACAAATAAATTGGACTACTGAATTAATCTAGAGCAAACGCCATCTCCATATGGACTGTGCGAAAGGCATGTGATCCATTTGAGGTGGGGGGGGGGGTTGGTGTCATGGTAGTCTTATCCTTCGCACTTTAAATATAACATGGAACGTATAAGTCCACCCAGGGAGGTAGGGTCCAAATTCCCCGCAAATTAATCACATGCTCTACGTACGGCCCCATATCTCGATTACATGAGCTTATCACACTATACACAAGAACTTGTCAAACCAACAGATTAGAGTTTGGTCAGGAAGTAGGACAACTTTGCATCATACTCTTAAAAATGATGTTACCCTTTTGAAAAGTAAATCCACCCTGAATTATAAATCATGCAAATGCAATCTAAATCCAGGGTAAACTTTACTCTCTATCAAGTTAACGTTATTCTGGAGTCTGGAGAGTAGATGTGGTTTATTTAGGAATCACATAATTACAATTTAGAGTTCATATACGCAAACATGTATGAAGTTACGTATGTCCATACACATGCCCTACTATTTTTCTACAGAAAATAATCCCTTAAATATGTCGTATTTGTTAAGGCATAACATAGATAACTGCATTTACCGTTATACTGCATAAAATCGACATCTTAAAATATTTAGAAACCAATTTCCAATAAAACTTTATGCGTTTACTCGCGTTCCTCTGCTTCCTGGAGGTTAAGAATTTGAAGAAATTTTTCTGGATGTGTAACAAACAATTCCTTCACAATTTCCAAAGATGGCAAGCTTCCAACTCCGTTCCTTAAATACATTTACACAAATATATTAGCTTAAATGAAAATTTAGCCCGTAAGCTATGTAGGAAAGCATTTGGGACAAATAAAGCACCATCAATAAATTATGTACATATGTCATGCCTGGCTCGTGAAATTAGGAGTAATGTGTCACGCGTGACAATATTTATGAATTCCAAATTAATTTGGCAAGACGAACAGTATGAAGGACCTAATCAAAATTTCTAAACAAAACAAAACCCTTTTCCTTTTCCAAGACTTAGAATTATTGTTTTAAAAGCTGTTTAAATCTTATGAATTCGCTGGAGGGGAATCGTAACCAGTAGCCACGAAATGGCGGAAAGAAATATAAAAAAAACACTTCCTCTCATATCCTACGAGGCAAATGTTCCCAGATATGTCCACGGTTTCCGCGGTCACTGACTTTATCATGAGAAAAAGCCAAGATGTCATTGCCAAATCTAACGCCTGTCTACAAATGTCCACAACATAGCATGAGAAAGATAGAATGTAGGTCACAACTTACGCCTGCAGAATCCGTAGTGCCTGCTGCTTTAATTCCACTCCGTTATACATATCGCCAAAGTGAAACATTTCAATTGCATTTTTGGAATTGACGGACTTAAAAAGATGAAACTCGCACAGGTTCTTTAATTTCGACACGTCATATTTATCCGCAAGTTTAAATAGGTCCTTTAATAAGGGCAAGTCTAAGCATGTTCCATGTGGGAGCCGAGCCGTGTAGAGGAAGCGTAAAAATGCTATAAAGACTGGGCCGGAAACGTCATCCAGAATTATGCGACCTTCCCTCACCTCTTTCACATCGTGACGAAACATTTGCTTAAAGACGGGACTTTTACCTGAAAATTTAATCCTACTTAAGTATATGAAACTACTAAAAGTCACAATTCTTTGGACTGTTTTTGGGCTTGCACTCTTAGAAGGGATTTGTACCCTTTTGAAAAGTTTGTACTCGTAAATGCACTCTCAATTCTAAATTAAGCAATACTAAATCAGGACTAAACTATACCCTTTAGCAGGTTAACATAACTCTGAACATATGTAGCTTACTCAATTTAGAATTGAGGGTGTATTTACTGAGGGTTAGGCGAGATTATAGAACCTGTCGCTATTTGCCCATATACGCTAAACAATGGCGCTACTTCCAAATATTCGAAACTTTTCTGGAAGCTTGGTTCAAGCTGCGCCGTGACCCAACAGCTCGATTTCGAAATTTTGAAAACGGGTCCAAAATTTGACCCCAAAGAGCTTAATGCTATTAAAACAGTTTGCCAAGCAATAATGACGTACAAAAAATACTAAACCAACTCCAGGATGAAAACATTATCATTTCCGTCGAACGCATGCTCCACGTACTGTAAGAAACCCGACGCTCGTGAGAAAAATTGATGTGGACAAGGCAAGAATTTTTTTATCAATCCAAAATCAACTGGCCACGAAGTGTCAGGTCCCTGGGCGTACACTGAACTGAATTATTCACCAAGATATGCACAACTTCAGCGAGGATCAGAAGATATGAGGTCGACTCGAAACTTTTTCTCTGACAACACTCGGATTACCACCCAGTTCGCAGCCATTCTTTTTTTAATATTCTGAATTTAAATTATTTTGTATAAAGATAAACTAGTTACGTCCGGTTATGCGCCTCCAGGGCTTTAATTTAGATTTGAAAGTCCAGATCGACACTTTTTTCAAATGGACATAAAATTTTTTTTATGCATTTTGAAAACTTTTAGATGAACAGTTGTTCAAAGAAAATCTGCTGCCGGCTTTAAAAGCCCTGCTTTTTAGTAATGATAACTTCATTCCTCATGAGAAAAGGATCAAGAATATGATGAAATCATTCAAAATATCCAGCAACGAATATTTCGCCCAAAAAATAGTAGTTTTCGACAGGTTCTATAATCTCGCCTGACCCTCAGTACTTTTCAAAATGTATCACATCACATTATCTTTAACATAATCTTTACGTAAGGGTGTATCTCTGTGTTGCATTTTGGCAGTAATAAAATTAAAAATAAGGAAATCATTGACGGCTTACAAGATAGGATTAAGCGATGCGCTGGAAGTTCCACATTGCCGGGGCAAATGAATGTGCAATCAGCCAGTTCTTTTGATAAGAACATATCTTCAAGAGCGTCGAAGTGGTGGGAACGTTCATCAGGGAGCAATGTTTTCTTGGCGATTTCGTCCTGAACATGAAGGACAATTTCGGCGCCTGGTTAAACGTAACAAATTTGAATATTATGCTAGACAACGATTAAGGTTTTGACTGGAAAATATTAACAGAAATGGTTCGATTTTCCTGATTCATCGGAGCCGGTACATGTAATCTCTTACGTTCGTAGCGCATCACGGAAATGTTTATCGAGAACATGTCCATATTTTCCTGTCAAGTGCATGACCAAGTAGTGTAGTAACAATTCTTGTGCCCCTGATGGGGACAACTAGAATTACTACTTGAAGGTTCCGGGTACAGGTTCCCTTGTGATCGTGTAGGTGTGGATCCACTTTGATTTCGGGACGATGGAAAAAATTCCAAATCACAAGAACGAACCTCGCACACATACTCAGCATCAACTGGAAAATGCACATACAGTATGACGTGGGGAACATCAATGATGACATCCCTGCAATAGAATAATACGATTTAAAATCGTTCACAATTATTCTTACTGAATGTTTTAGAAATCGTGAGATACATATATATATGTATAATCACATAAACATTTTTCATATATGAAAAATATTTATGTGATTCTTGAGATACCCAACCGCAGGGTATTCCGACCCAGGGTTTTATTGGGTTGGGGTTTTTGGGTTTTAATGGGTTTTAATGGGTTGTTAATGAATAAAACCCAGTGGGTTTTACCATGTTAAATGGGGTTTATTTGGGTTTTAATGGGTTTTATTTGGGTTTTAATGGGTTTTATTAGGGTATTAATGGGTTTTATTAGGGTTTTAATGGGTTTTAACAGTGTGTCAGCTTAAAACTATATTCTAAATGTTGAACACATCTGTCATACGTTAGACGAAGTTGTTTGACGGCAGCTAACGAGTTTAGTTTATTAATACTGTAAGTTTTGAGAAGCCGGAATAAATACGAATGAATACATACCATCCCTTACCATCACAGGCTTCAAGTGATACGAAAAATTAATTTTGGAACGGGGAATAATTGATCATACATATTAAATACTTTTTGCTATCATAATTAATACTTTTTCCCCAAGCAGTTCCCCTCATCTCGATACGCTATTTCACTGGTACGAATAAATTCTAAAAAATATTATAGTATTTCTTTAATTTGTAAAGTTTTTTAAAATTTAATATTTCAAAGCGATCTTAATTATTACCTCTGGAAAAATCGAGTCTTTACTTGTGGATAGCGAAATACTTTATTACTAGCAAATCAAGTATATATATCTGCAAAAACCACTTATACTCTCGACCATAATAATTCTCGACCATAATTCTCG